GTTAATTTACTAATGGACAACAAATTACAGGCCAAATATGGTACATGTAAAACACGTTCTAATTTCATAGCTTCAGAAATAACAACACTGCCTGCTCCTACTATTGATGAGGATGACCCATTTGCTGTACTCACTGTTTCATTTCCAGCACTAGGGACATAGGTACTAAATAGCTTAGAATCTGAAGTCACATGATCAGTTGCCCCTGTATCCATAATCCATTTGAAGTTACTCGTAGAGGTGAGCAAGGCACAATTACCTTTGTGAACCACAGACGCAGTATGATTTGGTTTCTTATTTTTCTCATTCTTCTGAAGCATATTGAGCATCTCGAGTAACTTACCGAGCTATTCCTTATCAATCTCAAGTGCTGATGAGGTTGAATCTATTTTATCTGGTGGCACATCGTGAGAAGCTTGGTATCCTCGTGATTTTCCTTTTCTTGGCTTCCAATCAGCCGGTTTTCCATGGGTATCCCAGCAAGTGTCACGGGTATGCCCAGTCTTCTTGCAATGTTCACAAGTAACCTTCCCTTTCTAATTCTTCTGATTTGCGTCACTACTCTTGCTTACAAGAGCAGCAGAATCTAGAGTAGGTACTGGGGTAGGAGCAGCGCCAGGAAGCATGACCTTGCGTCTTAAGGCTTCACGACATTCCTCGAAAAAAACTTCCCTTGTTGATGTGAGTGGTGCACGACTTAAGACTCGTCCTCGTACATCATCTAAGGACTGATTTAATCCAGCAAGAAATTGAAATATACGCTCATTTTCGACTTTCTCCTTATACTGAATTGCATCACTACTGCTAGACCACTCCACATCTGTCATTAAGTCTATTTCCTGCCATATAGCATTCAATTCTAACCAGAAGGCAGTGACATCATGATCTCCCCGTTACAGTGTCCATGCCTTCGTTTTGAGCTCATATATTCGAGCTAAGTCCTTCCCATCAGAGTTTAAATCTCATATAGCCTTCCAGATTTCATGGGCTGAAGGGAGAAACATAAAGCTTTGTTGAATTTCTGGAATCATGGCATTTATTAACCATGATGATACTAGTGAATTTTCAGTGTGCCATTGTTGGAACTCTTGTGTCTTGGGGTCTTTTGGGATCTTCGATGAGCCATCAAGATAGCCCATTCTTCCTCGGCCTCCAATTGTGAGTTTCATGGCTTGTACCCACATATAGCAATTTGTACCGTTTAGTTTCACTGATATAACATATACCGATGATCCTTCATGGCTAGAAGTTGACCCAAAGGGACCACCTACCCTGCTCGGATCAATCTTCAAGGACCCATCACTGTTCAACATAGGAGAACTGTTGACTAGGTTCGACTTGTGCTCAGTACTCTCTGTTTCAGAGTTCTCGGTGTCGGATAGCACTGGGAAGTCGCAGTGCTCTAAATACCATGTAGTGAATGAGCTGAGAAACTCTTGTGTATTCATCTTAGGTATGTACGAGAATATATACAGGAGAGAAAGCAATCATATCTCCAAGAATAATGGAGATTGAATCAGAGGAGGAGAAATAGGAAATAAATCTCATAAAAAACTCCTTCTCTTAACTACCCGGTATCCCACCTAATAATAACAAAAATTTACATTAAATAAAATAAATACTAGGTCTAACCATAGTTTTCTTCTAAGCTTAAATTGGGGTCACCAAATGCTAAGTCAATAGATATGGATGAGCTCTTGGTGGAGTTTGATAGTTCGTTTAATGAACCCACTACTTTGCCGCCTTTTAGAGATCATTATCATGCCATCCATTTGCTACTGGGGGCTCAACCTCCTAATTTACGTCCTTATCGCTATCCTTACTTCCAGAAGACTAAGATTGAGCAATAGGTAGATGAATTGTTACAAAAAGGCTTCATACAACCAAGCTCAAGCCCTTTTGCCTATCCAGTCTTATTAGTAAAGAAAAAGGATGACTCTTGGAGATTTTGTGTAGACTACAGGGCTTTGAACCAGATCATGGTCTCGAATAAATACCTGATTCCTAACATTCATGAGCTTTTAGATGAGTTAAATGGCGCCACTTATTTCTCTAAGATCAACCTTCACTTCGAGTACCACCAGATTCGAGTCCTGCCAGTTGACATTCACAAGACGGCATTCAGGACACAGTAGACACTATGAATTTGTCGTCATGCCTTTCGGACTAACAAACGCCCCTACTACTTTCTAAGCAGCCATGAATGATCTTTTTCGCCCTTATCTTTGGAAGTTTGTACTGGTTTTCTTTGATGACATCCTAGTCTACAGTCCCACTTCAAAGTAGCATGAAGAGCACCTCTGATTAGTGTTCATCACCTTGCAGCAGCAACATTACTATGCCAACTTTAAGAAATGTGAATTTGGACAGACTCGTCTATCCTTCTTGGGGCATAAAGTTTCAGCACAAGGAGTGTAAACAGACTATAAAAAAATCAGCACTATAAGTAGCCAGAACCTACCAATGTGACCGAGCTTCGTGGTTTCCTAGGACTTACCGGCTATTACCGACGGTTTGTCAAGAACTATGATATTGCTCGTCCCCTTACTGAATTAACTAAAAAGAATGCTTTTGGCTGGTCACCTGAAGCACAAAGAGCTTTTGAGAGGCTTAAATGTCATCATATTACTGCTCCTGTTTTAAAACTTCCTGACTTTACTGCTGAATTTATTGTAGAATGTGATGCCTCCATGGATGGTGTTAAGGCAATTCTTATGCTAAATAACCATCCCATTGCTTTTTATAGCAAAGGGCTATCTTTCTCTAACAGGTTTCAGTCTGCTTATGATCGAGAGCTCTTGGCATTAGTATTGGCACTCCAAAAATGGAGTTATTACTTATTGGGGAGGCATTTTACAGTGAGGACTGATCATAGCAATTTAAAGAATTTGCTGCAGCAAAGAATTTTGACAAATACCCAACAACGTCTCATCCTTAAACTCCTTCCCTTTGATTTTACTATTGTGTATAAGGCTGGAAAAGAAAATATTGGGGCTGATTCACTGTCTAGGAGGCCACAACATGCTGATTTTCTCACTATGGTGATACCTGTATTGTTGGACTATCTAGAATTACAGGAGGCTTTGATCGCTAACTCATTTACAGCTGCTATCATTGCTGCTTTGAAAGAAAATCCAAGCTCTTGCCCTGGTTACAGCTTGGTTGAGCAGAAATTATATTTTAATGGGCACTTGGTCATTCCCCAAAGCTCCTCTCTTCACTCCGAGCTGCTACAAGAGGCACATGTGACACCTTTTGGGGTCATGGGGGCTTCTTAAAAACTTTAAAGCGTCTATCAGGTGCAATTTACTGGCCCAAAATGAAACATGATGTGAAAGCTATAGTGCAGCAATGCTTTACTTGTCAGAAGAATAGTATGAAACTCTATCTCCTACTAGTCTATTGCAGCCTTTACCTATTCCTACCCAAATTTGGGAAGATATTTCCCTTGATTTTAGTGTGGGGTTGCCCAAATCTGGTGGCTTTGACACTATATTGGTAGTAGTTGATAGGCTGAGTAAATACTGCCATTTTATTCCCCTATCACATCCTTATACTACAAAATCTGTAGCCACTCTTTTTTGTGAAGAAATTGTTCATTTGCATGGCATACCTCATTCTATTGTTTCAAACAGGGACCCGCTTTTCTTGAATGCCTTTTGGTAGGAATTGTTTCAATTAAGTCAAACTTGCCTTCAGATGAGTATTGCCTACCACCCACAAAGTGATGGGCAAACTGAAGTGGTCAACCGTTGTCTTGAGACTTACCTAAGGTGTTTTGGACACGAACAGCCACGTTCTTGGAATAAGTTTTTATGTTGGGCTGAATTTTCATTCAACATTGGTTTCCATGTTTTTGCCAACACTACTCCCTTCAAGGTAGTGTATGGTAAGGACCCACCTCCCTTTCATCCTTTCATTAAAGGTGAAACTCATATTGATGACCTTGCTGTACAATTGGAAACTAGAGACCAAATGCTGCAACTATTTAAGGATAATTTGACCAAAGCTCAACACCGAATGAAGATGTATGCTGACCATCATCGACATGAGCTCTCTTCTGAGGTAGGAGATATAGTTTTCTTAAGGATTCAGCCCTTCAGGCAATGCTCACTGTCGCACAAGAAGTATGACAAGCTCTCACCTAGGTTTTTTGGGCCTTATACCATAGTTCGCAAGGTGGGACCAGTGGCTTATGAACTGAGGCTCCCTTCAACAGCTAAAGTTCACCCAATTTTTCATGTCTCATTATTGCGAGCAGCTTGGGGAATGCCTCCTCTGGACCCTCCAGCTGAATTGCCACTCTCAACGTATTTTGAACTCATTTTGGCACCTGAAACAGTACTATCTCATCGCTGGAAGGGACCTCATTTGGAGCTATTGATCCAGTGGGAATCCAGACCAAAGGAAGAATCAAGTTGGGAAGATTATGACCTCTTTGCACAGCAATTTCTAACCTTCCGCCCTGAGGACAAATCATTTTTCTAGGGGGTAGTAATGATAAGGATCCAAGTCATCTTAGGAGACCACTAATAAGTTATCGTCGTAGAAAAAAGGGAAAGATAGTTGAAACTGATGATGTCATGCATGTTTTAAGGGATTTATCTGATTTAAATTAATTATTGCTGTTATTTTAATTGTTATTTGAATTGTTATTCTGTTTTGAGTATTAGTTGCTAAATAATAGGACCTCAAGGTTGTTAGGGAGGTTCCTGCATAGTAGTTCCTGATTTTTAGGCTAGTATCTTGCATTATTTGAATTATTCAGTTGTACTCTTTTATTTTAAATGTCCTAGGTCCCATACACAGCAGGATATGAATGAAGAAATAAACCTGTTACTCCTTTGGAGATTCTCCTACTTGGCTGTTAAGTTATTTAGAGTGAGATCCTTGCTGTAGCTAACTTAGTAGATTACTCTTCGTAACCCCAACTATTCTAAGTTCTTATCAGCCTTCCATTCATAGAACTGAGATAAAGGTAGCAACAATATGTAATGTACCTCTCCGCCCTCATCTTGACTCCATCTTGAACTACAACTAGGTTGTTTAGACTCTTCACTCTTCTGCTTTTCCAAAAGTTGCGTGCCTCTGGCAGCCTTTGCTTCAACCCCTTTCAAATATTTAGTAGGACGCCCTTGGCTGTCATAGTATCGACCAACAAGCTTACCAACATGCCTAAAAAATGAACCAAAAAAAAAAATTATAAGGAAAGAAGAAAAATAAGTAATATGTTTTGAGAACTCAAAAAAAAAAAAAAAAAAAGAGTAATATGTTCTGAGAAAGATAAAAGAAGCATGTGTGATATATTTAATTTGCTTAAGCAAAAGATATAGTTAGTAGAAAGCAAAAACATTTCAATGAAGAAAATTCCAGCACATGATATGTTTAAGAAATCGCAGAAGGAAAAGAAGGATTAACTGGAAATTTAAGGAGGGGGGGGACCTTATGTCTATATAGTGAAGTTTTATTGTGATGCATAAACATGCTTCGACATAAACCATCTAAACTCCTGAAGATAATTATCACGGATGACTAATAGATTTCTAGGTAATAATGAACTAATCCTGGAAAACCACTCTTAAATTGTAAAAATTATCATTAGAAGGTAATTGACCATCCAACAAGAAAAGAATGAAGTGATCGTACTTGTTATAATGGATGTAATCGCACAAATTAATGACTTTGAATAGCTACTTAAAACAAAATAATTGACTGCAGAATATATGACTTACTTGTAGGTTCTAAAGTAGAAGTCCCTCCATTCAACAATGCTCTTCACCTGTATGCACACTATAATTAAATCATACAAATAACTACCAAATCACCACATGCCAATGCATGTCAAAATTTGGAGTCCAGAACCGAGACAAAACTTAGGTCTCATTTGGAGCACCATAGGGAATAAAGCATTAATGGTAGTACAAAAAGCACTAAATAGAATTGTAGGTCGAGCACTTTTTGTTCACACATCTAATAACCAAAACCTGAGTTGAAGTGATCAAAAACAGTATTAGAATGCCTAGTTAGAAGTTCAATATTTGTCATGCCCTATCCTGTTAATTAAAATTGACTTTCAGCAGAAGATTTGGAAGGCAAGTGCTATTTCCACACATAAAACCCATGGGTTTTGGTATAAAGAGACACATCCGAGATAATAACTGCTAAAATATAGCAATAGTTTTCCTTTCTTGTTCATTTAGTTATACTATAGAAGTGTAACCATTATTTTATCTCTAGGTATGATTTATTCTTTATTCAATTATTTTCATTTTTACTCTACTATTAATGTATGCAACACAAACCTCCCTTAGGGCTTTTCATTTCAATCTCACTCTTTGCTTTATTTTTTACAACAAAAAGGGGAAACTGCACGCACGCCCCCCCCCCTTTTCTTTGCCCCTGATAACAATGCCTCCTAGCTTAGAGAAAGTTGCAATTTACACCCTAATCTATCAGCCCAATTGCAATAACCTCCCACCATCTAAGTTGGATGTTGAACTTCACTTTATTTCACTCATGCAGTCTCATCTTTGCCTTTGACTGCAAATTCCCCCTAACCCAAAAAGTTGCAATTTACACACCCTAATCTATTAAACCCCATGCAATAATCACCTCACCATGTAAGCTAATTGTTAAACAAACTTAATCTATAAAAATATTACCAAAATACCCTTCCCTTCATTTGTAAAAAGCATGGTTTACACAAGGGGGCTCTCAAGTTGGCAATGAATGCTTGGAAAGCAATGCTGGTATGTTTTCATAAAGGAATTAGCTTCGCTGAAGAAGATATTCAAAGAAATGCATAGGAGTGATCAATCAGGAAGCTCTGTAAGATAATATGACAGAGTGCTTATCGCCTATTCTAGTCTCATGCCATGCTGCATACAGATGCCCGGTGGAGCTTGTGGTTGTGGGATTTTGCACGCAGCATCATTAAATTGTTCCTCTAAATAATTTATGTTTTCCATTTGCAAATATTAGCTATTGGTAGCTATTCTAAGATTTTTCCTTGGCTACTAACTCATCACTAGCATAATTCCACCATTGGTAGCTTTTCTTTCTTTCTTTGTTTTTTCCCCTTTTGTTCACTGAACACGAGATTATAGTCATGGATGATCTGATAATCATGTTGAATAGAGAAATCAACATTGGGCTCTGGCCAAAAACTCAATCTCGATCACTCTAATTTGATAGAAGCACAGGCCTAAGGTCCTCCCCTAAAATATACCTCCATTGGTTATCAAAATGAGAGTGAGTTGGCTACAACACTTTATGAATTATGGAACTGTTTGGTCCACAGAATATTATTCAATGGAAAAGCAAATAGAGGAAAAACAAAAAGTGAATGTCAACATGAAAAACATTTCTTTCGGTTTTCAGGTGCAAAAACTAATTAATTTGGTTAGGTTTTGAGTTTATTTCAATTTTGGTCAAGTTGAACCAAACTAAGCTACTCCAAACATTAGTGCTTACATCTTGGGAATACTGACAACAATATTATCATTTTGGTTATAGTTTAAGTAAAAGCATGGATATTATGACAATTATATGCATATATTACAAAGCTTAACACCACCTTAGAATAGGAGAATTATAGATATTACATTTCTTGGTAAGCAAGGGAATTTGGAACCCCCCCCCCATGGGAAACAATTGTTATAGAAGTTAGAACTAGAAGGATTAGAGGATTTAGAAGTGTAGTTAGGATAGAAGGGAAGACCGGTCTTTAGAAGCTTTAAAGAGTCATACTCTAAATAATAATAATAATAATAATAATAATCTAAAGACAAGGAGAATCTCCATAATTTACTGAATATTCACTTTCATAATTTTAATGCATGAAATATGTCCAAATATAATCTGCATCACTTAGAAATGACTAATCATAACAGAAAGCCAACAACTAACACCTAAACAAGAGACAATTAGACGTCTAACATCTAGACACATGACAAATGGACAAGAATTGGCACTAACTCTCTAAATTTCAATTCTGGACATATTTGAACCCCACAACTTCCTCCTTTTCCATTTTACCTCTATTGCTCCTTAGACTATGGGTAATAGTAGGTGGTGTCATCCTATCAGATTATATCTAGCAGAAGAACTCACATCATGACTGCAGAAAAAACAAGAAACTGCCGCGAGAAAATCCTACAAGTTAATTAATTATGGATTATCATGATTACTAGCCACTATGCCATTTCATCACTCTCTCATGGACCACACCCTGTACCCTACCTTCGCCCTTAAAGGCATAATTCCTTTGGTCACTAAAACAACGCACATGAAGGATTCGGCAAAATGACATCCCTAGCCATGCATGAGGCAACAAGGTTTCAAAAACAATAGCCCTAATTATAATTAAAAAATTAGGCCAAGTACAAGGATGAAACAACTAGCACAAACTAAACAACGATTTTCAACTTAGCTGTCACACTATTCTAACTCAACAAGTCTATAAAAATGTAAATTTGGTTTTACCTCTTATTTCCACAAAGCTCCTAAATGCATTGTTTGGAAGGGCAGGGACAAAGCTAGAAATTTATTGAGAGGGGGAGCAAAACGGAAAATTGAGAAAAAAGTAGGGGAATGGCCTTTGTAATTTTCTCCAACACAACATGTAATATCAACCAAATACAAAGAAATGTTTTTCCTAAGGGGACGACAGCCACTGAACCCCACAACTTAGCTCTGCATGGGTGCCTTCCTTTTGAGCCAAAGAAAAGTGTCAAGCAATCAAAAGAAAGGCAGTCACAAGTGTTAACATAACCAACAATGTGATTCGTGAGAAACCATGCGCAGACTAACTAGACATAATTTTATTAAATTTACACTCCTGCAACATCATGAAATTGGAAAATGGAAATCTGTAAACATCAGTACATACCTCAGTGCTAGATAAACCTAGCAATGAGTCTGTGAGTCCCTCTCCTGCGAAAACAAGTGGGAAAGAATTAAGACAACCTACAATACAACAACAAGCCTTATCCCAATAGGTGGCATTGGTTACATGGATTGCACAAAGCTACTCCTCTATTAGCAGCCAAATCTCTGGAACATGGTTAACACAATCTACAATGTTTTAACCAAAAAAAAAAAAAAAATTGTTTCTTGGAGCTGCAATGCACTATATGTGACTGCCACAACAAAACCACAATAAAAAAAACTTGCAAAGGCATTCTAATGCAGATACACAGCAACTTTCAAGGAGTGTTTAATTTCCAGTAAAAAATCAGGTTACAGGGTGCTGTTGATCAGATATTGCATATATAATATTTTCTTTATTATTTTGCAGCACTCAATTTTCTCCCTCATGTTATGATGTTATTGTAATCTCCGCAATACAAAAGGAGGCATTCAAGTTTCATATTTTGGCTTAACCTCATGAGTTGCAATATTCACTCAATAAAAGAACAAACCTAACCATCCAACATATTTATTTTACCTGTGAAGTTTCCAGAGACAAATGCACGAGAAGCATCCCTGAATTTAAAAAGAAAAATTGAAGGCAAAACTGTCAGCACTCATTCAGCATGAAAACAACAACACACAATATAGATATATATAATTACAGCTGAATAAGCATTAAACAAACTTAACATTAATTAATATTAAAATTTTCATAGGAGTCTCAATGCTTCTTTTGATAAGCTTTTCTCAATAATTCTTGTTCATCTTAACAAGCTTCTTATCATTGCTAGTTCAGTTTTCTCTGAAAAGAAAGAGAATAAGAAGCCAATTATAAAGAATGTGCATTCCATCATTCTTCTTTTAAACAGAAAGTTCGTTTCACTTAAATCATGCTAATCAACTTGGCTCAAGCTTTTAGTTGTTGTTCATTGTCAATCTTATATGATATGCTTGCTTGAGCAAAATGAGTATCTGTTTCTCCAAGTACCAATTTCTTATGGATATTGGTTATTTTGACTACCTTCCCATTTCATTTTCATGGTTTTCACTTTTTCACCTCAACCAAACATAACCTAAATGAAGAGCAAAGGCACCAGACAAGTGCATGGTAACATTTACCTGCATACCAAAGAACTGGGAGGATGGAAGAGAAGCCAAGTTCCCTTAAATTCACAAATAACTTTCCGAAAATTCACAAGTGACAATACATATATTTATAAAATTATCTATCCATTCACAGTTGACTTTCCATATATTCACAAGTGATCTTCCTTAAATTCTTAACCAACTTTTCTTAAATTCATGAGTGACCTTCTATTACTTATTTCAATAATTGAAGTATTTTAATTGCAAATAATGACCATGGTCCTTCTCTAGCATTTCAATATTTTGAGGTCTTCAATAGTCATTAATGTCTTTACAATATCCATAATTGTCATTTTCCCCTTTGTTCATATGATTATTAGATACTTGAAAAAAACTCCTAGTAAGAGATCTTCTCTCAAAGGAATGAAAAAAGGAGTTGAATTGTATTCTGATGGAAGCTGTCTAAGGTCTATTATAGACTGAAAATCACCTACACATCGAAGCTAGTTCTATGCTATTCAACCTAACTTCAAAGTCTCCTAGCTCAAGAGATTACCTATTCTTAATGTGACTCCACGCCATCCACCACTCACCTGAAATAATTTCTACTGCCATGGTACTAGAGAAAATTCCACAAATAAGGGCTGTTTAGAGAAGGAACAAGGGTGTGGCAAAAGTAACGATCAAATCAAAGGATTTAACCAAGAGGCTGCATGGGAGTCGTGGTACAAGTTCAAGAAAAAAATACACTGAATTCCAAGTGGATTTCATTGTGAATTTGTGATTAAGCCCTCAAGGGAGATTGGTTGCATCCTTGAGAGGAAATTAATTGCTACTAGTGAGGTGTCCATATGGTGTTTTTCACGTAATGTGTATGATTTTCACACTGTTGTGCTAGAAAGTCTGTTAGGTTGAATAGAATAAAATAGGTCACAGGATTACTGCTAGATTTTAACCAAATGAAAGCTTTCTATATTCATTTTCACAGTATTATTTTCTCTGCAGTTATCTTACCTATAATTAAACTAAAAAAGGCACTTAACAGCATGATTACCGTATACTGGAGCAATAGCCCTATTACCTAAATAAGTTGAACAATTAATCCGAAAATTGTAATAATGAGCACGTTTGAGCGAACCAAACAAGGAAACCAGAATCACTGTCAGAGCACAGGAAGAACATGTACTTTTTAGGGAAGGACAAAGATCATACCTTCCAGCAAAATGATTGTATCCACCTCCTGAACCATAATGAGATTTCCCTTTCGTCACATCAAACACAGATCTATCGAAAATCCAAGATATACATCAGAGTCAACAAACGCATAACAACAAATACATACGACAGCCACGTGTCAACAATAAACCAAGAAGCTATCCAAACTTTACAATCAAATACTCATCACCAACCATTTCTATGCAAACACACGAAAAAGAAAACAGCGCCAGTTAATCAAGAAACTATATTTCGGCTCACCCGTGAAAGAAGTTCAGACAGGCTTTTATGGTATATTCACATCAGCACCCATTGCTATCCCACATACAACGCAGAAAGGAAAAGAGAAGAATACCCGATAATTCCTAGAAGGATTGGCAAACCTTCATCGGTTCCATTGTACAACGCAAGTTCTTCGGGACTGAACAATCTCTAGAAGCACAGTGCACAGAGTCAAAATGGTGGACTCAATCTATCGTATGCAACCAATAGAAAATAATTTCACTTCAATCAGTCAGAAATAATCAGGAAAAACATAAATGTCATCTCCTCCGAATAACACCAACATTAGAAGAAGAAGAAGAAAGATTCCTCGCCAGCACTTCATCGGTAAACACAGAATTATGCATACTAACCCGAGCAGAGTTGAATTTGAAGTAAAAACTTAAAGACCCAACAAGAGCAACGAAAACAGTAATCCCCAGAAACGGGGACGTTGCTATCTTCCACACCATCGAATAAACTTTCCCGACTAAATTCCTTGCCTAGTACGAAGTTTCAAGTATTGAATGGCATCGCTTAGGCCCGTTCAGCGTTCGTCATGATGCGGTGAAAGTGGGCTAACTATCACGGCCTAGGAAAGTTAGACCAAAATGAGAGTTGCAAGCTTTGCTGTATTTGTCTTTGATGGCAAGAAAATGAAAAGAAAACTGACGTAAGGGAATGTATTAAAAAAATAAAAAATAAAAATAAGATGATAAAAATGTGAAGAATGATAGATGAATCATATTTAAAAATAATAATAATTTAATTTATAGAGTAAAAAGTTTTAATTTATGATATTTTTAAAATATATAATGATTCTCACATTTATAATATATAATATTGAATTGTATCATGCTTCTCATGAAAGAAAATAATGTAATTAGTTCATCTTATTCTTTCTAGCAAGTCAATTGGACTTTAGTTCTTGTATTTTATTCAAATTTTATAAAAATTTTAACTATAATTAAGTTAAATATAGTAAAAAATTGTAAGGAAAAATATTATTTTTAGTATCCTGTACTTTGCTCAAATTTTATTATTAATTCATGCACTATTTTTTTATGTTCCAAGTCTTATACTTTTTTCCATCTATAACTTTGATTTCTATAGTTTTAAAGGAATGTTGACATGAAACAAATGGTGTTAAAATTACTAACATATTCATTAATATTGTTAATTTTGTATTGAAGTGTTAAGTTGTTGTTAAGTTTGATTTTTTAAGAAACAAAATAAAAAAAACCACATTATATTTAAAAAAAAAAAAAGGTTCGATTAGAGGAAAGGAGTTGCTTGACCTGTTGCGTGAAGAGACAGTGACGAAGATTAGCGAGGAGATAAGAGGAAACTGGCGAGACCAAAAAAAAAAAAAAAATTGCTCAGCTTAACTCTAGTGCATAATTAATTTATTGCCAAAGTTTTTGTTATTCTGCATAATTTATATTCCTAATTTATATTGGTCACAATAACCTTTACTCATATTAATTAGATCACTCAGTTGGTTCCCTTTGCCTCTTCGCACAACAAGGTCAAGCAACTCCTCCTTTTGGATCCTAAAATACTCATAAAAGTGTAAGAACTTATAACAAAACTCAAAAAAAGTTAAGGAATAAAAAATAATGCTTTCTCAAAATTTTACTATTTTTTTTCCTATTTCTAGCTTTTCCCTCCAGTAAAATCAAAGTCACGATGTTGGTGTTATATTATTGTGTTATTCCCCATCCTCTTACCCTAGTGGTCTGCTTTTTTTTTTTTTGGTAATTGTTTTGGAAAATCTAGACTGCAAAGCAAGGTGAGATTTTCACTCATTCTGCTTCCTTTTTGGTTGGTGTTTGGTTATACAATCGCTCTTGTCTGAAGGTTTTTATAGGCAAGGAAAATGATGGAACCTTGTTTGTGAAATCATGCACTCATAAATGTAAACTGTGATGACTTGAGGCAGCATATGAAGCAGTGCTACTTATGAGCAAAATGTGTGGGTTGATATGTTGTCCAGAGTTTGCATTTGCTAATAGATGGTCAATATTGCTGCAACTAAATAGTATTATACATTAGCATTATTTATGCTGATACTTACAATCTTTTTGCACAAGCTTATAATTGGCATTATTCCCTGAAACTGTTTTTTCTTTTTTTGTCTGGAGGTGATAATTATGTTATGAATGAAGAATGTAATCAAGGAATGATGTAATTGGAAGGTAAAAGAAATAGAGGAGGAAAAAATGTACCTTGAGTCGTTAATTCACACGTACGTATGCGGGAACAAAGTTACACTAGTCGAATTTCGTTCAAGTATACGTACGTGTGAATTAACGACTCAAGGTAAGTTTTTTCCTCCTTTATTTCTTTTATTAGTATCAGAGCATACATCAAACTTCCGACTGCACTGGCATATGGAACTCTTTCCATTTTCCTTTTGGCTATCTCAGTTTTAGGACCCATATCAGGACTAAGCTTCACACCTAAAGCTACTGAGGTATCCATGGGTTTACAATCTTTCATATTAAAATGCTCAAGAATTTTCTTTATATAAATCTCTTGTGATAGATAAAGAAGCTTCTTAGAGCGATTTCTTTGGATTTTAACTTCAAGAATATATTCTACTTCACCCATGTCTTTCATTTCAAAATTCGACGAAAACCATTCTTTAATAGCAATTATCGAGTCCAGATTATTTTCGGCTTGTAAAATATCGTCCACATAAAGAGATAATATTACAAAGTTCCCATTGAACCTCTTGATATAAACACAGTGGTCTTCCTCAATCATTTGAAAGTCATATAAGGTTATTGCTCTATGAAACCTCAAATACCATTGTCTGGATGATTGTTTTAGTTCATAAATTGATCTATTTAATTTACATACTTTATTTTCTTTTCCTTTTTCAATAAAACCTAATGGCTGTTGCATATAAATTTCTTCATCCAGATCACCGTTACTTTACATCCATCTGGTGCAACTCTAAGTCAGACTATTTACTATTGCCAAAATCAGTCTTATAGAATTGAAGCGTACAACAGGAGAAAATGTATCCTCATAATCTATTCCCTCTTCTTGTGTATACCTTTTTGCTACTAAGCAAGCCTTGTATTTATCAATTGACCATCCACTTTTCTTTTGATTTTGAGAACCCACTTGTTCCCAATAGCCTTTTGGCCACATGGTAAATCAACTAATTTCCATACTTTGTTAGTTCTCATGGAATCAATTTCTTCATCCATTGCTTTCTTCCTCTTATCCTTAGTAGGTCCTGATAAAGCTTCATTTATAGAACGTGGCTCATCATCATTTAGAGGAGTTACTATCAATGCTTCACCCTTAATTTGGAAGCGTCTTTTTGGCACACTTTCTCTATTACTTTTTCTAAGTGGGGTCTCTTGTGGATTTTGATTCTTTTTAGGTCTTTTGAAAGACCTTTTAGAGGTCCCACTTAAATCAGCATTTTACGATGATTTAGGCCTTTCTATAAGTTCTATATTATGTTGCTCTTGTGTCTCGTAAAGAGATATTGTTCGATCAATTTCTCCCCAGCTAGGAAACTCATTTTCTAAAAATGTGATATTCCTATATTCAAATTCAGTTACAGTTCCATCATCATTTTCACTAATGAAAACATAACCCTTTAATTGCTCAGAGTATCTTATAAAGATACATTTCTTTCCTCTTGGACCTAACTTTCCATATTTATGGGAATCATCATGGGCATATGCAGCTGACCCCCATGGTCTTAAGATATTTAAATTCGGTTTGCGTTTTGTCCATAACTCATAGGGTGTGGAAGTAACTGATTTTGAGGGCACATGATTAAGTATGAAGGCTGCAGTCAGTAAAGTGTCCCCCTAATATGAGATTGGAAGATTTGCTTGTGCCATCATTGATCTAACCATATCTAGAAGAGTCCTATTTCTTCTTTTAGCAACTCTATTCTATTGCACAGTGCCATTCCCGAAACCCTTCGAATTTTGAACCTAAATGTTTTTCATAATTCTCATAAGAGCTTCATTCCCCAATTTGGGCTTTTATATGGGCCTGATTCACCAAGGGTGTATAACCCAACAGGAGGTCTTATTGCAAGAGTTTAATTGGGTTGGTGCATGAACCATTGAAACAGAAAACCAAACCATTATCTGGAAGGTTGTATTTGTGAGAATTTATTACAAATGAGTTAATGATATTTATCTATGTTGAAGAGACTAATAGCTATGATTTAATTTAAGTCAAATTTTCTTGTTCCTTTGCTTGTAAGCTATGCTCTGATGCTCTCTTGGTTGCAAAATTCAGCATTTAATTCATGGCTTTATTATTTTGTAAGTGATACTTAAGTTGATGAATCAATATTTTCAAGAATTTTTCATGATAATACTTGTTCTGGTCTCAATTGTTATCACCATTTTTCTTGTTTTCCTTTCTACATATTAAGAATATGATATTTTGATAGTCATGAGTAAAGACAAGGCACTGTGGGCTACGGAAGAAACAGAACTCTTCATCAAGTTAGCTTTGCAACAACTAAGAAGAAATGAGCATAAAGGGTCAATCCTACCAAATAAGGGGTATAAAACTCCAACACAACAATTCAATGCATTAAGGTCAAGAAAATTTGATAAGAAGCAATTGAAAAATAAGTGGGATAACTTGAGGAAGGACTGGAATATATGGGACAAATTGTTAAAACAAAGAGACAGAATAAGTTGGGATAGGGATAAGAACACTATATCAATGCCAAATAAATGATGGAATTAAAAGATTAAGGTATAAAATTTTAAATGTCATGTTATATGTTCAATGTTTTATTCTTTAAATATACTATACTAAATTCTTGGAAATGTGCAGGAGAACCCTGAGTACAAAGAATTCAAACATAAACCACTTTCATATGTACATGAATTGACAGAGCTATTCCGACTAGTTGCAGTATGGGGCACTTACATGTGGACACCTATGGCTAATAATCTACAGCATGCATATAGGCCTAAAATGGATTTAATAGAAGGATTAGGAGACAATGATGATGCAAGAGATAATAGTAGAGAAGCTATCCCTAAGATCGGACAGAGTAACTTGAATAATGCACACAATTTTAAGGAGTAAGCAAAAGAAAGGTGAAAATGGTTAGAACAAAAATGGAAATGTCCTTCATATATCATGACTTATGCAATGAGCCATTTGGTTACTACACAAAAGGATAGGGTTACAACGATTAAGTCAATTCTTAATTCAATTCTTAATTCAATAGAGAGTGCTGCAAAACCAATTGATCAAGATATTTTGAATGTTGCAATGGAACTTTACGAAGTTGAGGAGATTGCAATTGATGAGGTATTTCTTGGACATTGTGATATGGCCATGCTAAATAGGATTGCAAGGGAGATGTAAATTAGACTTAGGGGAGATAGAAGAGCATTAGTAGCTTACTTAAAGTGCTTGGCCAAGTACGTAGCATAAATCAATTGTTGCTTGCCTTCTCTATGTTTTAACACTAGCAAATGTTGATTATGTTGTTAACTTTGTTTTTAAATTGATTGTGTTATTAAACTCTTATTTTATGTGTTTTTATTTTAATTTATGAACAATGATGTAATGGTTATTAAATTATGTTAGTAGTTTTTATA